GAGGGGGGGGTCAATATTGGAGGGGAACTTGAAGTTGAATGAAAAACATCTTGTCAGGCGGAAAAGACTTGAGAAGATAATCTCAAAGATTCGTATTAGTTTTGGACTGCATATTCCTTGTTATCTTTAGAAACCATATCCACATGACTATCACAGAAACTTTGCTTTTGCCTTACATAATATCGAATCACACAATAAATTAATGCTTTCATTTTGACCTTGAATTTAAATTAAGCTGCGAGTCCAGCATCTAAGTTTGCTTCTTAGTCTATGTACGACCTAAAAGCAAATTTTCTGTTCTTTAGACTTTAAGTGGTGGTCGTCGTGGACTGACGCGACAGTTTGAAAAAACCGATTTACAACCATTGGCGCCACAAGAAACTGAAGAACCTAAAGGACCAGAACAACACGAGGTCGAGACACACCACGATGGTGATCGAGTAGGGAACTGGGTCAGGAGAAGATGCCTTGATGGAGCACTCAATAGAGTCCCTGAAGCCTTTTATCCTAACGTATGGAAGGTCTTAGAAAAGGTACGTTCAAACGAGGAAAGGATTTATGATTTGGTACGTTGCGTTGCAGCAAGAAATAAAATTGTTCACGTTTCAAGCACTTTTATGTGAGATTTCACACCAAATTAAGCGACCAACCTCCATTTAGCGACCACTAAAGTCCCCACCGACCTGTTACGATTTTTTTATTGGTAATGTATTTTTTTKTTTTGTTTTTAGTGTCATTGGATCACTATCTACAAACACGCGCTTCCATCTGCCATGGTCCGTGAAGTAAGTATAGATATTTCTATTGCAATATCTATAGACGCGCATTTATTTCCTGTATTTGAGGCTAGAGGTTGATTTGCACCTAGTATATGATGCTATGCAACTGTTTTTTACTTTTATTCAGATGACTGCCAGAGAAATCAAGTTCGCTCTGTGTGTGGAAGGAGCCCTGAACCGAATACCCGAGCCCGAGTATCGTCAACTGATCGTCGAGGCCATGATGGTACTTGCGCTCGTTGTTGAGAGCTACCCTAACCAACCTTTATGGGATACTGTTGATGTGGATGACTTGGTATATGAAGGATATCAGATTTACCTTAGAGAACAGGTAAGCAAGTCAACGGGTAGTGAAGCAAACTCCTCCCCTCTCCCTCCCTCACCGCAGAATTCAATCAATTCTTACAACGATCTAAATTTCTGTCTTTTTTTAGGCTGCCATACATGGAGATTCAACAGTGTGCTGTGCCCGTCCTCCTCATGAACGTATCAGTTGTGGAGGTGCAGGTGGAATTTGTCGATACTTCTACGATACAGCTCCTAGTGGTCGCTATGGAACAATGACATACTTCTCAAAGGCTGTGGCCAAGAAACTAAGTCAACTTCCCCACCAAAACGAATGCGTACTCAGCTGAATGAAAAATCAACACAGCTTTGTCAAATTGCGTATGCATGGCCGTCAAGTGACACAAGTCTTATAATGTATTATATAACAAACTATATTAAGCTTCTCATTGAGCCAAAGGCTAAGAATTTCCCCTGTTTTTTAAGCTTTGTCAAATCGTATATGCATGGCCGTCAAGTGACAAATCCTATCAATCTGCCGGCGCAACGGATATCAACCCCTCGTTATGTGAAATTTAGGAACAGTACATAAGGAAAATACGCAACGGTCATGGTAAACTTACGATGGATTTGGGTTCGTGGCAAACCGCTGCGCTTCTGGACTAAACCTTTGGATCTTTTTTTTGAAAGATCAAATCGATGAACTCAAGGCTCTCAATTTTGTGATTTGACGCGCTCAAAGATATTCAATTAAGAGTAACTGCATGGATTAAAAAAGCCATGAAAGAATACGCGGAAACGCATGCGCGGAAACGTTTGAAGACCAAATTACAATGCGAAAGTCATGAATGTCTCAATCCTATACGCCAATGATGCAAACACAGACGCCGGGTGTATGAGAGTCTATGACCGCCTCAGAAAATAATTTAAAGTTTAGTAGGTTTTAACAAAGGTTTAATTCAACATACGAAGATTTGTTTTGCGGTGTATAACTAGTATGTAATAACTAGCTGTTGGTTTATTCGAAAATTTGTAAAACTAAGCCATTAATGTTTATTATAAATCATAATATAAACAAATAATGGATAGAATTGAGTGTGACAATTCGTGTTTTTTTTTTCAAAGTGTGCTCAGACACCCTAGGGTTTTTGTTCCTTATTTACCAATGTTTTCACATTGAAGTGTTATTTCTTGTTGTTAATCTTCCCCGGACTAAAGCGAAAGCGTTTATTTCTCCCCTTTCACAACTAGCGATTTATTACACAAACGATTCACGTGACATCAAAGCTAACCACGTCAACCTGGATATATTCAAATGCGGAAAAACGAGTCATCCGTTAATCTCGTTGACGTTCGAAGGGTAGCAAAGACAGCTGGAATAAAACGGAAAGAGATTTCGAAAAACCTACAGAATTAATAACGTAATATCGCGTATAAAACATGAGTGGTTGATGTCATGTGAATGACTTGTCCTTTCCAATAGAAGCTAGAAATAGGAAGAAAGAACAAACGGAGCAAATTCAGTAATGAATAGACGGATGAATGCGTTTCCCCATCACTATTTATTATCTACTTTTGAGTCGGTGGAATTCAGAAGAAAGTTCACTTTTTTTTTTTTTTTTTTTTTTTCAGGGCAAAAAAGGTTTTGAATTAATTGAACATCACAATTTCCTGAATTGCTTCTAATGTATTCATATTCAACTGCGTCATATTCAAGACTAGTAAAAATAGATCGGACAGTCGTGTGGTTTTGTTATGAGTCTATAGACGATGAGGTCCACCATTCACTCTCATTTACATATGCACCTGTTCTAATTGATCATAACCTGCTCCGAGATCAACAGGCAAATTACCAAACACAGATTTCTGCGTATTTTTCAATAAATATTCCTATTTTAGTTTATGATTTTTCTTTTTTTAAACCTGAGGCATATTCCCAGAGTTTTTGTGGCCACAACAAAAAAGCAAGGAAGTTGTTTCTTTTTAAAGCGATTGCGGTTAGCCTGTTACGCATGATTTTTTTTAAATACACTGCTGTAAGTTTGCAATTATAGGGTCGTGTGGTTATCATGTTTCATTCTAGATCAGCTTTCGTGTGAGACGTACTGGAAAAAAAGGRAAAAAAAATTAAGTTTGTTTCGTTTAATTAGCATAGCGATTGGTTTAAATACGTTGCGTGCGTCCAAATAAAATCCCACGAACGAATCATCTAATGCCAAATCATCGGATTCGGGTTTGGTTGTGCATAGCAACAATTAAAATTTACCTCGAGACAGTTTCCAGTTTGTGTGCTGCACAGTTAGTAGTTCTAATCGAAAAAAATACCTCATTTGATCGCAGCCTCATTCGTGCTTGAGCGAAAACGTTTAAATTTCCATTAGATGTTATGACAAGGTCTTGAAGGGTTAGAATGGAAGCTCGCTGGGATTTAGGTTACTGTAAGGGAAAAACAGAAAAAAAGTGGGAATGGGAAAATGTTTTTTCGGGGTTCAGTTACCGGACGCTGGGAAATTAATTTTTTTGAATGGGCGGGAAATAGGATCAGCAACCCCATCCCCCTCAGGACCATCTTATGACGAATTTCATGCATTGTGGTTTTCACATTCGTTGTTCAAGCTGATATAGACTTTAGATTTTATCAAACACCTTCAACATAATACAAACACGCCGAGGGTGCGTATTTGCTATAGCATTTCTTCCTCTTTGTAATATTGACCTAAATATAACTCTAGGATCCTAAAATAACTTTCATTTTATCTTTTGTTTTACGAAGCGGGAAACGGGAAACAGCATTGTAGTATTCGCATTAACATAGTCCCGGATGATAGTTTTCAAAAATACTCTATTTATTTAAGGTATCTGTTATTTTATACAATTTAAGTACTATTTGAAAATAAGCTAGACACTGTCCTTTACTTATCTATATTTTTTAAACCATACGGTACTATCGCGTTGTCTAAAGTTTAGAATGTGAGAAAAACACGTTAAAGTTTGAAGAGGTACTGCGTCTTTTTCTATTTAGCCAAATACTATAACATTCCGACCACAATATCAGATAACTAAACAAAATAAAATGTAATGCTGTCGAGAATATAATGCTTCTTCAATTGTATAGATATCTGTGGAATAAAAACAGTTACATGAAAGTAAATCAAGATAATATTTTGTATGTTTCATGTTTTTGGAAAAGTTAAAGCTTCGAGCACCTGGAGGCAAGATAATTAACGAGTCCATACTGAAATAACTCTTGCTGAGCTAGAAGAATATGTTATTTTTAGCTTATTTATTGTTATTATTATTATTATTATTWTTTTTTGTTTTTTAGTCAGCCCAAACCATATCAAGTGCCAAGCTGGTCATGTGATATGGGAGATTTGATGGCTCATGGAAGACGTGCTCCAATTTCAGTGCCATCATTTATTGATAGTCCCAGCCATCCTCTTTTTCCATGGGCTAATAATGTTTATTCAAAGACATAAAATATGGCGAGGGCGTCCTAAACAACGAAAACGTGGGAATTCACCGGGCCTGAATATTCCTCCCACGAGTTTTTAGGGGTGATCCTCAGACGCCTGCGTTATTTGGCTGTGATTGGTTAATTCACTCGGGTATTACGTCATGAATATATCGGCAAAACTTCGTTTTGAGTTAGTCTCACAGTTGTCTCACGCGCGGAGTTACGTAGTAAACCAAGGAGGAGAAAACGCTTGAAAATATCTCCATTTATACCACCTAGAAAAACCGTAAACGAAAGCTAGGTCTCAAAAGGGTCTATTCTAGTTATTTTTCTTGCTGTTTGAGAGATAAAAGAGCGTTGACTGCGGGACAGCCGGCTCATGACTATCGACGGTTCAATGAAAGTTGGAGAAGTTCGAGTTGCGAAAGCAGAGGATTTCGAGCAGTTTAAACGATTAGCCGAAAGCACTGAAAAATGGTCTCTTTTATACGACAAACATGGGATCAAGGTGTTCTCAAAGTTCACAGAAGGGACTTCAGTAAAGATGATGAAGGTAGGTTTTAGCGCAAGACTTTTGTAGTCACGCGCTTTGCACGCTTGTACTTTTGACTATGCTTTGAGTAACTTGTTACCTGTTCAACAAGTATTTCGATTGAAGCTTTATAATATTCAGATAAAACTAGAAGATTCCATCGTATATCTTACACAGTAATGATAATAGTAAAGAAACTATCGATCAGACTTTTACCACTAATTTTTTTTTCGCGTTAGGAAGACTTATGTGTAAACATCAACGCGTCTTGGACGATTGCAAAATCCTGGTTCACTAAATTTCTTTATAAAGCTTAATTCTATTTTCTTACGATCAATTCTTTGGTTTAGTAAGCTTATAGTTGACTGTAACAGTCACTGAAGCTTATAGTTGTACATATTTAAAGAATTATTTTTGTGTTAAACCGCTATGGGAATTTAAAAGTTTTTTATACGTTTTGTTTGAAGATTTAATGGTAATTTTTTCAAAACAGAAAAACCTGTCTTTGTTCCTCGTATAAACAACTTATTAACCAAATACTTTGGTTTTTAACACTCTTTTGTAGTTCAAATGTGATAACGAGGGAAAGTCTGAAAATTTTACCCAAGATATATTCATTATGACATTGAAAAATTCACCAAAATCAAATCTGTTCGAAATGTAGCTCTAAAAAAACGTCATAATATCGTACAAAACTACGTGTTACTTTAATTCTCTGTCACTATGATACTTCAACTTTAGTTAATTTAGAGTGACTCAATACTGCTGAATTTAACAAGTATATTTGCTGCGTTATAGCGCATTCTACTCCTTCGCATAGCACTGACTAAAATAATATAGTATGATTGTGACTTTCCCATTCGTTTAATTATTTATTATCAGAATTTTCCATTTGGTCTAATTAGCTTGCTTTGAACATCTCCTTAAGAATATATTGCTGATATTCATCTGTATTCGGTTCTTTTTGTGTTCATTTTCATTGATATATTTTTCGGTATCACAGAAGCGCATGCATGCTTTTCAATAATTTCCCCCCCCCCCCCAGGATTTATTTATTCTTCCTGTTATCAATCAGCTGAATATTAGTCTATTAGTCATCAATATAGCAGATATAAGCTATGCACTTCTTCGTATTAACAGAAATTATATTTATTAATTCAAGACAATGGTGTAAAATTTGTTTCAAATTCACGGTATATTTTATTCATCAAACTGTACATACATGTAAATTCATTTTTCCTAGTAGCTTATACGTTATAGCTCAATTACTATCAGTTGTGCATAATTATTATTCGTACATTTCATTCAGGCAAGCTATCTATGTATAAAAGCTAGGTTGAGGTTGAAGTTCAGTCATGCCAATCAGGTATTCTCTGAGCTTGCTCAAACCTGTTTTAGCATTCTCAGCAGTATAAATATGTTCTTTACAACAGTGATGTGTATAAAATATTACAGAGTAACAATAAGTGCATTATAAAGTACATCAATATATGTTAATATTCCAGCATTGATCTATATATTAAATCAAAAATATTGTATTTGCCAAAGACTTTAAGATTTGAGACAAGATTTAGACTAACTTGATACTAGATTCTTTTATAATATTGGCTTATGTGGTAAAGTATAGGTATAGTAAAACAGGTTTTGGTAACCCTTATTCCTGTTTATACTCGTTTGAGAAAGGTCTACTTTGGTAGACTATACTGAGTGCACTCATTTTACACAATGCCTGTGTGCTTCCAATTATTCTCTTGGGTTAATTCAGTTTGACGCATGACAACAGAAAAAGTGGGGCTTCACCCTGGCTGTTGCTCAAAATAAAGGGAAATAGGTGGACTAAAGAATAAACTTTTGTATAGACCTTTTCGATTTTGGTGTCAATGTTTCCCGTTTTAGAAAAAATCACTTTCCTCTGAGAATCACTTTATTGCTTTCTTTAGCCTGTGAACGCAACTAAAACTAASAATCTTTTTCCTCAAGAGAATGACATGTGGTCTAAAATTAGAGAACTAATTACTCCTAATCTATTATAAGGTATAGAGGCTTTGTACCATCACATGTTGGAAGCCATGACAGGAGGCACAAGATGGCTGCTATAGCATCTTATTCCCCTGCGAAACTAAATTCTATACTCCTAATTTATTATAGTGTATAGAGGCTTTGCACCAATATGTGATGGAAGAAATGACAAGAGGCACAAGATGGCTGCTATAGCATCTTATTCCCCTGCGAAACTAAATTCAATTGTTCCTGTGTCTTGCCATGGCTGCCACCACGTGATGGTGCAAAGCCTCTATTGCACTGTAATATCGCATTTATTTTATTCTTAATGATTTTTGATGTTTTCACAGGTGGTTACACAATTTAGTGATGTTCCATCCATGGTTCTATACGATGTTCTTCATGACCCAGAGTATAGACGACACTGGGATGAAAATATGATAGAATCATATGAACTATGTAAACTAGATGGAAATAACGACATAGGATATTACTCAGGTGAGAGTTCTTTTACTGCAAATAACAAATTTATAATGATAACAAATTTATAATGATAACAAAAAAAAATAGCAATTTTTTTTTTTGCAATAAAAATTGATTGATGAAAGATAGACAAGTGCTTTCGATCATCTGCCATGGTAGACATGATATAAATCAATGTCAATCAAATCTCCATTGAAATTCTCAATAGAAATAATGAAGTAATGCAATGTTGTTGTTTTTTTCAGTCAAATGTCCTGCACCAATGAAAAATAGGGATTTTGTGACTCAGCGATCATGGTGTTGTAAACCAGAAGAATTTCTAATTATAAATCATACAGTACATCACAAGGTATGTTACCTACATAGATCAGTAAGCTGGACTAATAAACTTCTTTGACCATATAGTGGTCAGCTTGGATTGCAAGGAATCATAGGACATACAKGGAACAAAAATAGAGCTGTGAAGCTTGATGATATATATTTTTAATATCACCTTTATTATAGTCAATCGCCTCTACCCATGAAAGAAAGACAATCAAATGAAACTCTACATAATATTTGCCATCTTTATTTTTGTTCTGCTCCCCTGGACACACATAATGCCTTGTGTTCCAAGATCATGGCTATAACATTGAAGTAGTCCATTCCCTATCTGGGCGCAAAAACAAGGGAATTTTCATTTGCTGATGTTGTAACCTTCCTTGTGTAAATTTTTATATGTTTCTTTGTTTTGAACCCCAGCATAACATCACATGCAAGGGGTCTAAGATAATAAATTCTTTTTGCAATATTACCTCTAATTAGGTACTTTGTCGCTTACCATTACATTACATTGCACTACATTAATTTGCACTTCTAATATTCCTATTTTTTGGCTTTTACCACAGGCGGCCCAGCTTAAAAAAGGCTTTGTACGTGGAGACTCAATTCTAACAGGGTATTATGTTAAAGCAAGAACTAATGGCTGTTCCCTTACATACGTCGCTCAAGTAGACCCAAAAGGTAAGTAAAATAGGCTGTTTTTATTATGTCAACACTACATAATAATAATACCTGTAACTTTATTTCAACTGCTAAAAATGGAACAGCTGATGCTTAGAACAACTGATATTAACCGATAATCAGAATGCTCTGCAAAGTTTCTTTTTCCTTAAAGCAAATTGAAAACTGTCTAATTTACTAGACATCTTAATTTTTATTTAAAATCTTATCTTTTTAAATTATGTAAAAATTTATCTGTCGTAATATTAAAAAAAAAAATTAGTAAACATTTCATTGCCATTGCACATAATGAGTTATCTCTATTGTCTTAACTTTCTTCTCCTGAATCTTTGCAATCTATTTCCTTTGAGGGGAAAGAGAGAGTACTCATAGGTATTTTCATTAATAATTATTGGTGACTTTTATTATTCTCTTCTAGGTATCTTACCAAAATGGGTTGTCAACAGAGTTTCAAGCAAGATTGCCCCCAAGGTAATAAACATTCCTTTTCTTGTACGACATCAAACTGTGGATTATGTTTTGTGGATTACTTAATTTTTGGTAATGACTAATTTCTGTTGACCTGACATATATATAGTTGCAGTGTTAGAGGAATTTAAAAAACTCTATTTTTAATGTCCATGCAAAACCCCTATGCAATGGCAATAAAACATGAGTGACACATCAGCTTACACATTTTGACTGGTCACAGACATTTTTCATAGAGTGTTGTTTGTTATTCATTCATCCATCCATCGATTATTATTTATTTATAAGCATTCTGGGAACTGACATACACAATCTCAGGGAGATGTAACAAGAGGACACAAAGTCCCTTACAAGGTCACTCTCAATTTCTAGCAAGTACCATATTGCACTCTTGGTGGGGGAAGCAATTATACAGACTCATTCCTATATATATACTCAAAGGCATTTACAATCATGAAATGTGGTTAGTACGAGGTTTTTAGGCACTGAGGGTGGTCACTATCATAAAATTATTTAAATAATGTAAAAGTTATGCCTGGTAAGATATAATATATTATTTTCTTGTAGTGAAGTGTTTTATTTTACTTAAAGGTGATACACAAACTCCATAAAGCAACAATGGGATACAAGGAATGGAAAGAAAATCATTCCCCTGAATACAAACCATGGCTCAAACCAGAACAAAGCACCTTACCTGTGATTAAAAAAGAAGACTTAGAATACACAGAGTTGGTCTTTGAGTCAGAACAAGAACAAGATACTATGCAAGAACAAGAAGATATTGGGAATGACACAGAAACATACTCAAGCGAGGATAATCTTGATGATATTTTATGACAAGGATCATAAAAATGAATCACTACACTACTGAAATTTAATAAATTAATAATTATCAAATCTTGAAATATATTTTCATGTAATGCAAAGGTTGTTAAATAGCCTTTAAAAAAGATAGAATATTGATGATTACTTCATAATTTTTTGCTGTAATGCAATGTTAGGAATTGAATATGTAGGTTGTATATTTTGATTTTATTGATTTTGTATGTGAGAGAGTTAAATGTGAAACACAGTGCTATAGTACTAGTTGATGTGACGTGAGCTATTGTTGTTACTATGCCAAACCTATATCAATTAGAAATGAAGCAACCTGGTAACAGCTATTGTGATAATGTTTGGCAAATTAACAGCACAATGCTAAAATCGTAAACTCCAACTATTGCTATATTATTTTTGATATTTTGATTTTAAGTAATGAGACTTGATTATGTTTATTTGTGTGCAGCCTTCAGAGCTGGAGGTCCACAATTCAATCCTCAGGATTTGCACCTCTCATTTGACTTCTCTCTAACAGAGCACTGATGGAGAGAGGTTGTAAAGTGTGCAGGAAGGAACTACCGATGTTAATATTAGTTATTTTATCTTTTGTTGTGATTGAGAATCATGTCATATTTTTGTCTTTGGAGCACAAGTTGGGTTCATCAAGACATATTTTTTATACATACTGTAACTGCACTTAATTAATTTAAATAATGATTCCATTCAACTTTAATAGTAATAGTTATCTTCCATCTACCTCTTCCTAAAGATAGGTTTCACAATATTTATTCTAAAAAAAGATAGAAAAATAGTGACTGGATGAGAAGAGAAAAGGTTGTCATATTGGTCTCACTGAACTAGCTCCTACATTACCATCTTTTTTCTTTTCTTTGGGCTACTTAATTTAATATTTGAGTAGAATGAAATGACTAAACCTGCGAAATAGATATTAGACTAATACACATTAAGCAGACCATTATTCCATTGTTTTCTTTTGCCTGATAAGTTTTCTTTTGTGTCTTTGATTTTTACATGTTGACTAGTATATCTTATTTCACAGGTTAATTGCATTTACTCCAATACAGAGGCTAGTTTAAAGCCATTAGTAAAATGAATGCTAAATATTTAATGTTAATAAATTATTAGTTAATAATGGTTGTTCATTGTCAACAACAATAGATTCTCGATGTTGTTCTTTAACAATACATTAATAACATTCAGTTTAATTAATGGTAATATCAAGTCTGTTATTTGCTAAAAAAAGGTGTAGCTATGCTGGCAGAACTACACAAAATATTCACAGATGTAATTAATAATTCAGACCTTTGAGGTAAAATTTGTCACTAAATTCTTGAGAAAGTTCATATTAATAAAAACCATCTAAATTGAAATGATTTTTATCGTTTTGAGACTATCCACTTCCCAAAAGTGCAAAATCATACAATTTCTTGTTGCAAAAATATAGGGCTTTAGTTGATATCATTAAACTCATTAATAATTCATGAGGAAAAAACAGAAATCACGACTGTGAAGAGTTCTGTAAATCAGATACAGAATCCTGTTCATTTGCATAAACTTTAAGATGGATTTTCTTGGCCAGATTCACTTTTATCTTGAAAATTTTAGTGAAACACAAAGGAACTAACCTATCTAGACGTTTGATAAGTAATCTACAGTATTCGTGTCCGTTGTGTATCCAATATACAAACTCTCGGCTACGCCTCGAGTTTGTATATCGGATACGGCCACTCATACTGTATATATTACTTAAAGTGGTTAGTGTTTAGGCTCTAACGAGTTCGTTTAATAACTCAAAAGCCTATACATCAGCATATTTTCTTAGTTCTTTTTGTGTACATTATTCCATTCCAAGTACTTATATGCAACGATTGGGTTTCCTGTGGAAAGACCAAAATTCTTTGCGTTCCGCACACATGCCAGCTAAGCTTGGAACGCCTGATTGAAGAAAGATTCCTCTCTTGATTTCTGACTCCTACTACTATCACTAAAAACGGATGCGAGGGAGACTACTATCTTTACAACTAGGGGATAATTGACTTCTTCAAAAGCTTAACACTTAAAAGAAGACATGCAAGGGGTAGCGGACGACCCCGAGCTCACAAGAATGCTGCAAATCGAAGGAGAAAAGGCAAAGTTTCAATCTCTTGTTCACAACTTAACTGACCTGTGTTGGGACAAGTGTGTACCTGATAAACCAGGCAACAAACTGGACTCCAAAACTGAAAACTGCTTGATTAATTGCGTTGAAAGATTCTTGGATACAAGTACTTTCGTTGTTAAAAGACTCGATGCTGCTGCTGCTTCAAGATGATGATTAATATTCAAGTCAAAATACTGCTTAAACCTACTTCAAGATGCTACAACAATCAGGAACTATCATTTTTTTAAATGAAATTATGATATGCTTGAACATTTTTTGTTTACCTTCGTGATAAGAATTCCATATATTTGTTGATGATCACTTGGTATTTCTCAAGAGGACAAGAACTGAATGATCTGTGGCCATGGTAAAATGGATCAACAGCTTTTTTTGATACTGACTTTAAAAAAGTAGAATAACTTGTATTAAATGTACACATGGATGTACTTGAAGATTAATTTGTAATGGTTATTGTAGGAAAATGTTTTTTAAACCTAAACCAACGTCGGGATGGTTAATATTCCTGTACAACTTTGTTATGCTTGGCCGGCATCGTATTACATAATTGAATTAATTAAGCTTACATTCATATTTAGGAAAATTGCCACAGGAAGTCCAACTAGGTATGTAGCCACATAGCCACTGGACATATTGCCTGCATTATTTTCAGTGGCTAGTTGGCTACTTGGCTACAGGAAGCCCAATCAAGGAAATTGCCACATGGATCCATTACACGTATAACATATAACATATATCCATGTATGCCATCCTTAGCCATCCCTGACCATCCCTTGCCCCCCTGGCCCTCCATGGCCCCTTGGCCCCCCTGGTCCCCTTGGTCCTTCATGGCCCACCTGACCCCCTGGACCTCCATGGCCCTCTTGCTCCCCTGGGCCCCTTGCCCCAATGGCCTCCTGGCCCATGGACCCCCTGGATCCCTGGGCCCCCTAAAATATAATACGAGACTGTTTTGCTTTTCCAGTCTAAGGCACCATTTATTTGATAGAATATAAAGCTATAATTTATTTCATGGCAGTATCGATTGGCATTTTTCTAAGTAGATACATTTTATTGCTGCTTTTACATCATTGTAACGCCATTCCTATTCATTTCTTTTACCAAAAAATCCATTATTTTTTCTATTTGTAATCTCCATTTATTTTTTATTTTTTTATTTTCCATTCTTTTCCAATTATTGATGATTCGATGCTGGGAAAGACTGGGCACGGAAAGGGAAAAAAAATAACTCCAAGTCACGTGATAACCAAGCATAACACGGGAAACAAAATAACTATGGCGAACATAAGAGTTGATAGTCATTCAACAGTGAAAATGTAGAAAAATACTCCCAAAAAAACCTTAATATGGCATCTCAGCCACAAGGCCGAGCAAAGGTAGGTTAGAGTCATCGTATTTAACGCTTTGTGCTGTCTAATGGAGTATTTTAGTGAAGTAAAATTAAGCGCAATCTTCTCTTTTCCAACTACAGCCAAAGGCTCCAAAAGCTCCTAAAGCAAAGATCCTGCAAGCTTTGCGAAACGTTCATACAGAACAGCTGGCTAAACTCCAGCAGAAATACCAATTTGAGCAGGATCTATTGGAGGATATCAGGTAGGATGTGTTTTACTAGCGGTTCCATTTGTTATGACGGTGAAAAATAGACCCAGTTAAGAGTAATTGCGCTAATTTCGAAGTTTGATTGAGCTTTGAATATTTTTACAGATCTTACAGTAAACAGAGGTCGGCTATCGAGAAGGAGTATGCTCAGGTAATTATAAATAGATATGAAATTTTCAAACCAAATACAGGCCCCTTTTTAACTCATAAATACTAACGATTTTCCAAAAAAAATTGTTTGAAAATTTTACATGTAGCGATCTAAAGTTTTAACCTTAGTTCTTAATGAACAGGTCGATAGTTTTGTTGAAATTTGAGTAAATATTTCTCTTTGGTCTTAAGCAGGGTTAAGTATATCGTTAAATTGCCATTCTTTGGATCTCTTGTAACTTTACAGTTAAATATATAAATTTACAAAATGATAAAATGTTTTGAACAAATCTTGAACATAAAAGTAAATTTTTAAGTGAATGTTTATCATTATTTTTGAAGTTCTTTTCAGTGATACCAAAAATGCTTTTCTCTCAAGCGTGAAATAAGATTAACCAATACTCTAACCATTATTCTTTTTTACTTTTTTGGCTTTACATTGTGTGCAGTTTGTAATTTAATGTTTGTACACATAATGAACAAGTCAATTACCTATATATATAAGTAACTTGCAACAATATTTACTTTTAGAAAACTTTAAAATTACGAGTTTTATATCAGTTTTCTTTCTCATTTTCCTTCTTCATTTTGTACTTCCCTCCATTCATAATTTTGGTAAAAATCTAAGAACTTTCAATGTGTCATTGCCAGTATAAGTCTTGTTGATTTTTGGATGTCAATCTTGGCATTTCCACATGTGACATTCCCATTGGCTGCAGGGTGTAGCAAGGTCTTGACCATAGGGAGGCAATGAACCATTTTCCTGCAAATACTAATGCATACACATCTCATCTTCTTCCTGCCATCTCCACTGGTTTAGCAAAACCTTTTGCCCCCCCCCTCCTTCCCCCCTTGCTCCCCTCACTATGCCACTGATTGGCTGATGAAGACATTTCAAACACCAAAAATTTCACAGTCGTAACAATGGCCATTTTTATACTAGAGACGCATACTGCACCCAGACAAAGTTGGGCAAGTGTTTTTAGTGCGTCCCTTATTGTGTCTCTAAGTTTGTCGGTTATAAAGATAGGCAGAAGTCACAATATTCGTTCAGATGCACCACTTGATTTAGTGCGTCTTGAACAATGAATTATTTTAAGTTCGTTGTCTGAAAGTTTGATGGTCTGACAGTATAAAGACAGGCAACAGATGAAGAAAGTATGAAACCTGGAATTTTCGCCCAATTGAATATACTAGTGCCAGGCCAAATGCTCAAATGCTCTCGACAGGCATCAGATTGTCTTATATTTTGCTCATCTTTACACTAGATGCATAAAGTAATAGATGCATTATGCATCTTGACACATTTTTCRTCTCTAGTGTAAAGAGTGCCAATGGGACATTTTTGCTAAGTCCAGTTAGTCCCTTGCATCCAATCTAGCTATTGTTTTTCTGCATTATCCTTTATGTTACTTATTTATCTCTGCAGAATTTGCAAAAGCTGAACAACAATTTCATACAGAAGCAAGAGTTTTTATCTTCAAAAGAGAAAGATATTACTTACAAGTGAGTAACGCTGAAGAAGATCAGTGATCATGAATCGTCTAATTCTAAACGTATAAAAAAATTATTTAAAAAATTTATAAACATGACTCCTGACTGGAATTTCAAGATGTCTAGTTCAAAAAAATGACTTTAAAAATTAGCAATATTACAGTTGCACCGAGGATCATACATTGCCTTCAAACAGTTGTTTTAAGTCCAACAGTCCAAGTCCAACAACAATATAGTACATGTAAATGTATAGAAATTGACCCAAATGACTTAAAACAATTTGAAGGTAATGGTGTGCAACTCTATTATTTGCTATTATGTCATTTCTACCACAGAAATGATTTGGATTTGGACATGAGATGACCTGCTGTTACTTTAAGCCCTTTGTCCTGTAAATTTTCCACTAAACATTCTTTCTTATTTCAGATCCCCAGAGGCTGTTTGGAAAACATTTCTTGAGGAGTCTGAGAATGCTAGTAAGAAAAGGTTGGAAATTGCTGAAGGACTGCAGGCACAAGTTGGCAATGAAATCAAAACCTTTAAAGCAAATAAAGCTCAGGTTTTTAAAAAGGTGTGTGTTGACAATGAATTATGGCTACAGTTTTATGAACATTGGTTTTGAATTAAGAGATTTATATTTAAAAAACTCATTAATAATTCATAAGCTTATGGTCCAATTGGATAAAGTCCTCTTCATTAGTATTCAAGTGATTTTATATAAAGACACATGTGATCTTTATATAAAGACCACTCGAATACTATGAGGATGACTTCATCAGGGATGAAGTATGCATCCAAGTTTAGATGAAGACATAGAGCTTCATCAAGGTCATAGTCAACCCTAAAGATCTTTGACTAACGTGCCTGTCTTTGCCTTGGCACGCAATATCCAAAGTGTGGGAGCTTCTATTGAATCTGGTTGCGCATGCCCATGACGTCAAATCTCTATCGAAGTATAAAAACCCATGTTCGTGACGTGTATGGTGGCTCCAGTTGAACCAAAATCTTATAAATTGTTCATGAGTGTTTTAAGCAGTTCAAAAATCTCGTAGATCGTGTTTTATCAGATATAAAAGCACTCGGCTATGCCTCGTGCTTTTATACCTGATAAAACACTCCTACTCGTTTTTTAAACACTACATAGACTGTACTGATAGACTAAAAACATTGATCAACATTCATATGGCTCATTATATCCCACTAAATATATTATTTAAATGTTTTAATTACCAACTGTTAATATTTAATAATCCTTGCTTATTAAACATTTAAATTATATTTTGTAGTTTTTCTGGTTATTAAGATTAATTTTTTAGCGCAAAAAACTATCATTTCTGTCTTAGACTTAGACTTTAGACTTTATTTATTTTGCACATGAATTAACAAGTTTACAATCTAAAAAATTACAGAAGAAAGAAAAGACAAAATATATAATGATTACAAATGGCAATATTTATCAAAATATTAACATGATATGTATGGATTGAGTTAATTGAGTTTGTTGTGAAATGTGATCGTCCGGGTGAGTGTAGTCTTGAGAAAGACTATTGTTGGTGGTGACTGACGTTTTGATAATAAAGTTTAATTAATTAAGTTTGTATCATAAAATGTAAATTATGATAATAAAATGCTTAATTTCTAGTGTTCAGAGATGATACAGAAAGTACAAGAAGAGTTATTCGAAACGATAAGAGAAATGTCCAAGGTATGTATTCAGTGTTTTGGTATTATAGCTAGTGTTTGATTCCTACGGTATTATCAAATGACAATCTAGATTGGTGTTGCAGCTGCAAACTATCTAATATTCGATGCACTAACACTGAGGTGGTTAAAAAGCTTTTAAAAATAATTACAGGAAGTTGATCTAGGATTTTTTAATGCTAGTATCAGGCAGGTGAGTGGTCACGTGGCACGTGGCACGTAAAGCATGAGTGGACAAAATGACCAGCCTTTAGCATTTTTGGAGCTTGAAAGAACAACAAAGCAAACATGGCAGTAAACGAAGAGAAATTGTTTTTTTTCTTCTTCTTGTAGGCACATATATTTTATTTTAGTTAAAAGAAAGCAGAAAAATATGCAAAAATTAGTTTACAGTAGCCAGTGAATGAGGGCTGGTGGCAAAACAGCTGAACCCGCTGCGATTGGCTAAAACAAAATTCACCGCTCAGCTGGAGTGGTAATTTAAAGGCTTAATCACAGTGTGGTTCCAGGAAATATTCATTGAATCAATACATGAATGAAAACTTTATTTAAAAATAAATAAAATAAATTGACGCTCCCGCTCGATTGATGCAATGTGAAGAATCTGACAAGTGTATTTTAATAATGGCTAGTGTAATATTCTATTTATTTTGGAACGTCCTAAGAGTATACCATCAGGAGGTCTAATACTCTCTTCCTTGGGGAAGGTTAGGGAAGTAGTTTTTGGATTACCCTTATTTTCCATATTTTCACCTTTGACTTTCCTGAATAATTTCATTCTTTTCTTAGTCGAAAAAGAACTATATGGAAGCTGAGAAGCTAGCTCAAGTAGCTGGTGAACAAGCTGCTGAAGCCGAAGATAAGTAAGTATATTTGACTATTAATTATCTAATATTATTAATAGTTATTAGAAAAGTTATAAAGAGTATGTTTCATTTTTGGGTGCGGTCCTATTACCTTTAATAGAGGGGCGATGCATACAGTACATGAGAATAAAGAGGTGGTGTCATTATCTCAGTACATTGAGGTCTATTGCATAAAGTATATTGGGGGAAGAGATATCTAGCTAAAAACTAGTGTGAGCTGCGTCAGTGTTTCTAATGAAACAGTAATGATAAAAGGATAAATTATACACCATGAAAAGATGAAAAAACTTACTGATGTTTCAGATGCTAGTCCTTCATCGGAGTAAAAGAGGTAAAGCATATATATTTGGGGAAAGTAATTTAATATTCGGGGGTCATGGTTATTGGTAGTAATAAGATGACCATGGGTGTCATGGGGATGGGGTTTATGGCCATCATGAGGGGTCATGACTAGATGTCATGTCTAATAGTTGTTAAAATGCCTTATTTCATACATAATATTTTTCATTTCTAGATACAAGAAACAAAATACAAAGTTCTTTCAGTCTAAAGCAACACTTGGCAAAAATTTTACCAAGGTAAGAGCACGAGGTTTTTAATAATTTGATATTTTGATTATTAATTATAAATCTGATATAATTATTTCAGAGCTCTAGTCGGAAGGAAGCTTGTGAAAAGAGAGCCACCATGGCTAGAAATGAATATCTTCTCAACCTTGTGGCTTCAAATGCTCACGTAGTGCAATACTACTGCACAGATCTTCAAAGAATAATGGATGTAAGTATGTAGATTTATATAGGACAATCAGAATTTTACATCTAGTAGTACACTCAACATAATTAATATCTCCCTCATATAAATATATGCTGCAATGACATTCCCCCTATGTACCCCAACCTCTACCTTGGGAGGAGTTAAGCTACATACCTTTCTCAGATCCCTCCCGAAGGAAGTATAGATATTTTATTCATGAATGAACACAGTGGCAATTCCCTTTCTTTCTTTCTTTCAGTCAATATATGGAGATTATTATGAAACAGCTAGGACATATTTACTAACAATGGGCAAGTTAGAAGTTGAGGCTGCTACAACTTCAAAAAATGGGTTTGAAAATTTGTTGTCTGAGGCAGAAAGGGTAAGAAATAATATTATTATTTCTCATTGATTTAGTTGAATTTCTCTTTTTGCTGTGATTTTCCTCCCTTTGTAAAAATTGAGTGGAAGCAATTTTCAGCACAAGACAGCAACTTCTACTTATATATATTTCACCCTTAGTATTCATCTGGACAGGGTTTTTACCCATGATGTCCTGTGCAATAGAGCGATGCTCGACCATGCAACAGAGCCAGTCCAGAATGAACAGACATACACAGGTGTGCGCTAGCTCACTTAAATATTTTCTTATACTTGCAGATTAATAAAGACTACTGTGTTCAGTGTTTCCTCACCAAAAACAATGTGTTCACTGAAGTTATTCGTTATGACTATGAACCTTGTAAACATGATGAGGTAAAGAAGGCTGTAAAGTCTATCTTCTTCTCCAATGCTTGTAAATGCAAGGTTTGAGAATAACAGCCAGCTGTTGCAAAGTTGAGATTGTTGCTTGAATCTCAAAGTATTCCGGCCTTGTGGTAACATTTATACCCTAGCCTTTCCCCTACACTGCCACAGAGGTGGATTGATGTTAGCAACACCGACCCCCAGGGTTTTCTGTAAAGGATGTACTAGTATCATGCCTATACTGCACCCACTCCCAACCATTTTGATTCTTCTGAGTTTTAGAGTGATTATATTTCATTTTGATGATTATTGCTTAAGATTCCGATTCAACTTTTGGTGATTTGATTTTTTAGGTATCAACATTAACCTTGGACAGGAATGCTGGTTTAGTTCTGAATAAAGAGGCTCGTAAGCTAGCCATGAGAGTTGTTAGAGAACAGAAGAACATCAAGGAAAAACAAAGAGCTCTTAGTGGATTAAAATCATCTGATACTGTGAGGATTAAAAGGATTATACATTACTATTACATACATCATTATTTCATCATTGCTATTATTAATGACTTCGCTATATTCATCATCATTATTTATTATCATCATCATCACCAATGCCATCATACTATTTGTCATCATTATTGTCATCATCTTCATCATGGCCAACACATCACCATGTTGTCATAGCCATCATCATTGCTACCATCATCACCATCATCAACATCACCATCATTACATCAATCATCATTACCACGACAATCATCATCATAACCAATGCCATCATCATACTATTTGTCATCATTATTGTCATCACCTTCATCATGGCCAACAGATCACCATATTGTCATAGCCATCATCATTGCCACCATCATCACCATCATCTACATCACCATCATTGCAGCAATCATCATTCAACCAGCACCACCATATCCTCATTGCCACCATTTTCTTCACCACTACCACCACTGCCGTCACCACCACCATCTTTATTATCATCAACCATTACCATATTCACTATCATCCATCACCTTTATCACTTACTTATTAGCTCTAGCTGAAACTTAAATGGTGCAAATACTTTTATCTGGAAAAATACACTTCATATTGCACCAGATCATTACTCATTTTCATCATCACTCATTTAGCACAGTCCTCGTCATTTTACCACCCAGAACTAACGTCTGTGTTACTGATTAAACTCTTTCAACAGACTAGTGAGATACCTCCAACAGGGGACCCAAACCAAGGCCCTGAGGAAAACCCAGACACCATACGAGAAGAAATCAGACATTCTGAAGTGGGAATTACTAATATAATAAAAAGATAGGATGAATTAATTAAAGATATATAAAGTGAATGATGAATTGATTGAATGAGTGAATGGTTGCATGAATGGATGGATGGTTGGATATATGAATTAGTGAATGAATGAAATGTTCATTTCTAAGGGAAAAACTAAACTCATTTTATGTGGTATGTACTTTGTTGATTTGCAGTTGATCAAGTTAAAGTCTGAAGCTTGTCTTGACCTTCTAAAAGAAGCAGGAGGTTGGTACCAGTATAGCATGTGACATCAGAGCTTTAGTTTTACTCTTGGTTCTGTTAACTGGTTTCTGCTTTCTGTTGTTTTATAGTCAATGTTGAAGAATGGCTCAAGAGTGCAAACTCATTGTCTCCAATGGGTGAACAAGGTAACTGGCAGTCTTGTCCAGGCTAGTTTATTCCATTCTTTTGACAGGTTTAGAGGAAGCCCTGAGTCTAGGCGAATGGAGAATTGTAAACAAGGAAAGAAAAGATATGAAAGAAAGGAAAAAAGAAAAAAAATATGAAAGAAAGAAAGAAAGAAAGAAAGAAAGAAAGAAAGAAAGAAAGAAAGAAAGAAAGAAAGAAAGAAAGAAAGAAAGAAAGAAAGAAAGATAGATAGATAGATAGATAGATAGATAAAGAAAGATAAAGAAAGATAAAGAAAGGAAAGGAGAGAAAAGATATGTAGCAAGTGGGAAATGAACAAATAAAGGAAAAGAAAAAAGGAAGAGAAGAAGAGAGAAGACAAACGCGTGAAAGGAAGAAAAGAAAGAAGGAAAAACAAAATATGTCTAATGACTATATCCACCCAATAGCCTCTGTTACTATGAAAACTAGGTGTGCTTACATCTGTACCAATTCATTTGCAGGTCTCAGTAGTTCTCAAACCTCTCTAGATTCTGAGAATCCATCAGAAAATGCAGAGTGGATGGATGACGAATGGGATGCGGATGATACATTTGTAGGGGACTACGAGTCTGATGAAGATGCTCAAAGCATCACATCTACAGGATCATTTCCATTACCTTGTGTTGCGCTGTATAACTTTGAGGTAATTAAAGAGACTGCCCATGAAGTTATTTGTGTATAATCTTGTTCCATCTTTCACTGGACTGTCCTGCGCAGTACTGTTTAATAGAGATGTCACGCACGGAAGTTAGTAACGATTAGATATATTTCTTTTTGAAGGCTTCAACGTCAGATGAACTAAATATTGTAGAAAATGAAGAGTTAGAAGTTTTAGAAAGAGACTGCGATGGTTGGTGTAAGGTAAGGGGTTTCCCAGTACTTTTTATCCATCATATCAACACTAATAAGTAGGGAGAGAGGGTTGCGTGACAACACTAAGAACGGCTATTGGGGATACTAATCCTTTTAAAATAGGATCTTTGTTGTGAAATGTGACCGTCCGGGTGAGTGTAGTCTTAAGAAAGACTGTTGTTGGTGGTGACTAACGTTTCGACAACCTGAGCGGGACCGTTTTATTCTTAATAGAATCTTTGTTATAACTAATATCTTGATGGTCATCAGGAGCATCGCCATCAGCTTTACCAATACCAATACCACCATCATCATTTTACAGATAAAGAAAAGTGTTCTAATATATAAGGAATGGTCAATGCTTAGCGTGCGTATATCCAGTTCTGGATGCACGTGGGAGGTTCTTAAGCACGAAAGAAGCGTAAAAGTCGGTGCTTATGCACCCTCCCATAGTTAATAGTTCCCCTCTATTAATTATGACCCTCCCAAGTGCATCTAGATATCGCACAACTGAGCATTGACCATCGCTTTTATAACATAGCAAAACCGTAAAAAAAATTCGTTGATGAAAAAAATTCAAATTTTGTTCTCTAACGAAATCTTTATTACTGACATAGCGCGCGCGTGTACCATCCATCTCTGGATGCGCGCTCGCGCACGCTAATTAACCAATCAGAGCGCGCGTTATATCGTGGCTATGTTAYAAATATAGTTTTTATTGTTTCAAGGGTCGAAACAAAAATGGAGAGCAAGGTTACTTTCCAGAATCGTACGTACGATTTCGAAGTAAAAAGCGCCCCTCCTTGGTGTCGAATCACAGTGGTTCAGGTCACAGTGGCTCAGGTCACAGTGGCTCTTTTACAAATGGAAGCCTTGGAACATCACCAGGCAGAACTAGTTACACARCCACGACTCAGCAACCAGATTATAGTAAGTTCTTCTTGATACAGAAGATTTTTTTGAGTGAAAAATTCACTGCGCGTACACAGTACAGAAATGATTAATCGCTGCGCACAAGATAACTGCTTATATATTCAGTCGGAATGCTGGAGCACAGCACCATTTGGTTACCTGTCGGCATGGCCTATCACAGAGCATAGTGATCGTGCCGTGCAGTGACCAAGCATTCTGATTGGATGAGCAGTAACACTGTGAGCTCTAATTGGCTCTGATGTATAATAAATTATTGTTGTGACCCTTTATGTTTGAGATTTAAACTACGTTTCTTTTCCCTCTGTATTATTTCGTTCTTCAAAGTGTCTTTCATCACAGATATCTGTAGTGCATGCATTTTGCCTTTTAATTGGTGGGAAAGATTTCAAAACGAAACGCACATGTCTTTCTCGTGAAGATTATTTCTTTCTTTAATGTGCATTTTATCAAATGCTATACAGAGGTCTGTAAAGACTTTCATCCTAGAGGGATAATCGTTTTACAATGATGGGGCTTCCAAAAAGACTATTGCCAATCTTCCCAGTATCCTCAGTATTGGGTGTATTCCCCTTCAAAGGGATTCCTCTAAACCTATACTTTGATAAGAAACCTTTTCTTCTACTCTTCTGTTACAGTATGTATGGTAAGGGCTTTGTTTGATTACGAAGCGGTCGGAGACGACGAGATCTCTTTCAATGAGGGAGACCTCATCTATGTTACTAGAAAAGATGACAATGGCGTTGATGATGGGTTTTGGGAAGGACGCATAGACGGCAGATTTGGGATGTTCCCCTCTCTTGTAGTAGAAGAAATCGAAGGATCAGACCAACAGGCTTCCGTTCAGCAACCCCAAGAATCAACATACTCGGTACCACAGACCACTAACATCTCTAATACACAAAAAGTAGACGATTATATTGAGCTACCCAAGGACTATGTYCCTGGGTGTGGCACATACACGGACTCCTATACCACAGCTGCAAGCAACCCAAGCCCTGGCAACAGTCCTCGTTTACAGCCCAAACGAAAGGCACCACCCCCACCATATGCCAAGACCAGGAAGGAGCCTCTATCTTCAAGCAGCAACAACCTTGACTCTGTGGATCGACGGCGCGTTCAGACTGAGAATGTATTAACGATGAGTAAACCTGACCGGGGTACGTCGTATAATCGGGCCGTATCGTACGAGTATCATGGAAATAGCGATCGAAAAACTGTTTATAGTGCTCATAGCTCTGACTACGTCAATGTCTCTGATATACCCTCAGAGAGTAGTCCTTGGACTGGGGGTGCCACCCCAAAACCACCCAAACCCCCACCACCCACCAAGTATAAGAGTAAATCTTATGTTTAGGTAATAATTGAAAATTAATTGTAATTATTGAAATAATGAATGAATATCTTTCGTGATTAGCCCAGCTATCGTAATATGGAATACCATTTWCACTTTGTTTATCATGTGTTTGCGACGTCTTACCAAGAATTCAATTTGAAATATATATGGGATGTGTACAGCTTTTGATCTTGTCGCTTTTGGATAACATGCACGCCAATTGAGGGTAAAGTTAAGAATCTTTCTTTCAAGGTTTCTTTACGTTACTTCATACGACTTTGAAATTTTCTTGAGTCAGAGAAACTGCATACAAAAACATACACTATTTGGGCATAGAAAAAGTTGATAATATCACTTCAAGTTCAATCGCTTTTTTTTGGTTCAAAATGTAAACCACTTGGGTTGCTTTGTCTATAATTTCCATTCATAGAATCTTAGTTGTCGTTGTCAGCAATGTCACTTCTGATAAACTTTGCATGAAATTATCTAGGATTAATAAGCACTTCGTGCACTTCTCTGCATCCCTAAGAGGAAGTGCGAAATGAGAAGAAAGTGCATACTCTATTGCATGCGGTTAATGTGGGCAAACACTTTTATACTGCAGTAAAAATCATATAACCACAACCATCCAAGAAAAATAGACTATAAAGAAAAACGTTGACTGCTTGAAATAATTACAAATATGAACTTTACGCATGCTATGGCAGGCCTTTAAGCCAATAGTTTGTCTTTAAGGTATTTTAACTAGAGAACGTTTTTTTATATACTTAGTAATATTGCCTTTTTGCGTCGTGCATTTGTTTTTTGGGTGATTTATTGAAGTTAAGAGAGCAGTACTTCACATTGGAAATCCTGGATAACTGACCTTCCTTTAGACATAGACACTAGCTCCACTGTTGCCTTAGACTGGAAGACACTATTATTATTTTGTTGAGGTTAATTGATAACGGGTTAAATGCAATCACTGTCCCTGCTTATAAATATAGTAAAATAGACATTTATATAAAATATTGAGTATACACTATGTGTACTTTTAAATAAATYAGTGGTATTTTATATTAATTCAAACTAAATAAGAATGAAAGTCATTGTGATCATTGAAATTAAGCTTTTTTTTTWAAAAAAAAGAAGTTTTTACCAGTATTTTATGAAATACTTCAATGTTAAACTTTTGTCAAAAGATTGCCATTTTGTAATAGGACAAATGAGGAGTCGAAAGCTTACCTTCAAATGTTACCATGGGAACTGAAAGGGGGTACGGTATGATTAATAGACCCCTTGCATGCGATGTCARTGCAGGCTGATCAATTTGGAGGGTAAATAAAAAAAGAATTTCAATCTCCTTAAAATTGGAAACCTATTGTTATGTCCTCCAAATTGAGCTGCAAGGGGTCTATAGATGATCTTAGCTCTCACTTTGCATAAATGAAACTCGTTTGAATCTTGATCTTGGCATTGAATGCAAGTAATAGATAGATAAGAGTCTCTCTAGTACCACAAGGACTTTTATATCCTCATTCCAATATGAACAGTTATTTCCTTGGTGGGAAATGGAAATTCTAGTTCTAAATCCATTTTCATCCATTCATTCCCTCCCATTCATTTTATTGTTATCCAGTCAAAGGAAGCTGTCAAACATGGCTGCTTTGCAAGACTTCATCCCTTGACGTTTTCTATAAGTTTTCTTTGCAAGTCCTAAATTAAATTCTGTTTCATCCTAGTAGTTGTCTAAAGAGATGAATCCCTTTCTTGCCAAGCCCCTGATATACATAGATAACACATGCGAAAAATATAATTTAGACAATGCATAGATCAATTGCAGTCAAACCAGCTCATGCATTCCTATCAAGCCCGAACGCATGAGCTGGTTTAACTGTAATACAAGACAATACATGGATCAATTGAATTACAATCGAAGTTCAAACGTATTTTTATTAGCAGGTATGTAAGCTTATACATTTAAATTTTTGCTGTACATATGTGTCTTGAATTACAAGCCTTTAGACCAGTAGATAAGTAAAGGTTATGTACAAATATTTATATACAATACAAGGGAGATCCAGGGGGTGCCCTGCTGTAGATCTGACACCCCCTAATACTGTAATTTCTCTTACGCTCTTTTGAAGCACTGCATAATATCTCTATAAATTTCTTCATTTGGGACGCACCTCTAACAAATTCCTTGATCCGCCCCTGCAATATTAATGGTTTTATATACCAAATATGTATGCCTTTTTTTTAAGTGCAAATATATAGCCTCACTGTAGTCACCTGAAGGTCAATGACCAATCGTATCTTTAGCAAAATAATTACACTTTTTTTGTCCTATGTTTTAAGAGTATTCTAGAAATAGTGTCAAAACGCAAAGATGTTATGACGCAAATGGCAAAAAAAGCATGACTGGATTTTGGCTGCTGTAAACAAGCTATTGTGAATCTGTAATATAATATCTCAACAATACAACATGACTGTAGCTAGGTATGTAATATACCAAGTAAGAGGCCACAATTTAAATCCACTGTTATCCTCCAGCTTTTAGACAATTCAGGTCATCTCATTCAGGTAGTACAAATTGCTGATTCAGTAGTTGTTTTGATTTGACAGCAAACTTCCTTCAAACGTTGTAAACAGACTTTTCGTCTTTCAACATAATCARCGATTGGTTTGGGATAGTCTTTACCAATTACACAATTGGCAGCTTTCTGAATTCCCTCAGGTGCAGTCCATGGATGATAGATGTATTTATTGGGCATTGTGCGAAGCTCTGGAATATATTTCCTAAAAATCAAATTTTTAGGAACTTGATTAGAAAATTGAAAAAAACACAGGGGGCCAAATGTAAGCAAGTCTTTCATGCAAGTATTCTTAGAGTACAACCATCTGACTAGAAATCCCTCGAGATATAAATAATGAAACATCGGCCATCTTGGTTGATCAAACAAGAGAAGCTAATGAGGAATGCTTTGGATAGTCGACCCACATTGCAGCTATGATGTAACATGTACCCTAATAATATGAGATTTTTTAAAGCATGTCTTACCTAATGTAGTTACCAGAGGGGTCGAGTTTTTTGCCAACACTAACAGGACAAAACCATGGGATCTGACTATGGAAAAATGCACTACAAGACAGCCAAAGCCAGCTTCCTGAATTGACGCTCCACTCTGCATCAAGCTGTAACTCCTCGAACACCTTAGAATGAAATAATAGTTGTCCCAATTAGTACCACATGCAAATCCATTCTCTTGAGTATTATTCCTTTCTTTGCTGCTATTCTTTCATGTGTACTACATGAAGTACCTAGTTATGCGCTATCATAAAGAGAAGTTTTTTTCCAAGTTTATACCTTGAAGCCTTCCTCCCAGCTGACCCAAAGGCATCCTCTAGTTAGGAAGCAGCCTACTGCTTGACGTGCTATGTGATGAATCCAGCCTTCTTGTCTGAGCTGTCTCATGATGGCATCAATCCATGGGAAGCCTGTTTTGCCCTAAAGACAGAAAATGTCAGTGGTCATGATGCTTGTGGGAATTTAGGGTGGCGCTTCTCAAATATTGGGTCTAAGGTTTGATTTCTGGACTTGGTATCACATGTATCAGGGAGAGTAGAGATTGTTAGGTCTCCCCATTGATCCAAGATTTTTTTTCTCTGGGTTCTCTGTTTTAATGCTGTGCCCTTCAAGACTTAGGTTGCATTCAGTTGTAAAACAAGGCACTAATAATTAGGAACAATGTGCCCACTGGTAAGCTTCTGGCATCAAGATTGACAATCATAATGATTTAGGTTACATTTGGCCCAGAGGTTGTTTAAGGGTAACTTTGTGAGAAGGGTATCAGACATTTTCATGTGACTAAATACTCACTTCTTTCCAGCAAGTAAGGGCCTCCTCGTTATGTTCCCATCCTATTTCAAGACACAAGGGATTGTTTTCAATCGTATCCATGTTAGGATTCTTGCTGGCCAAGGTAAAGAAAAACTCCCTCCAGACTAGCTGACAGTACAGCGACATTGGCGGTGGCTTGCTTTTCATCTGTTAATGACAGTGCATAAATATTGTTAATGTAATGAAGTTATCAAATCCTTTGTGGGTCCACAATGTAAATAACATGACCTATTTTTCAGTGACAGTAAACAATATGAACCAGTGTCCATATCTTGGGTATTTTTCAACAGCACCCAGCTAACATGCTGACATCTTATGTGCTGTTATCCTACCAATGACCTATGATACCTTACCGACACCCTATACCCTTACTGTTACCCTGAATATTGGTATTAATAATATTGATATAAATATTAATAATAATATCATCATCATCATCATCATTATTATTATATTGGTATTCCAATAATCCAACACAGTGTTGAATCACAAACCTTGATGTATGCCATTGTCAGTCTTTTATAATACATCTTGGGTGACAGACAGCCAAACCGTAAATATGGACTGAGTTGAGTGCGAGATGGTAATAGAGCTGCTGCACTTTCGGGAGATTCTCTTTTAGTCCCAATAAAAATCTGTAGAGAAAGAATTAAGAATCATGTACTGTACTGTTATTATCAATAATGAGAATGGTGTGCATGGTATGGTCCTTAAGTATTGGCTCTCGCTGCTAAGATCTCAGGTTACATTCCAGGACACCCCACTCTTGTTATTTAGCATTCAACAGGGCCAAAAATAACAGCCCATTATTGGACAATCTCCAGCTAAAATTAGGACATGTTCGGTCAAATTTAAGGGTCATTTTGACCAGTAACGTTGAGCCAGAAATGAGGTATGACTGAGCTAAAACTTATTTGGTCAGTCATAATGACTGATAAGCCATTTTTATCCCTGTTTAATAGTCTGATATATGGTAGTAGTGCACCTTAACAAATTTTCCACTCAACAACCTGCATCTTTAACTAGTGAGCTGCAAGGAGAGAACATTAGCTTTCCCAAATTCAATTCTCTTTTAGAGAAGTGTTCATTACCTTCTCTTCCAGTTCTGTTAGTCTAGTTAGAGCTTCCGACTCCCCACCAACCCACAGATCACCACAAGTTACTTGACTTTCATCAATATTAAGTTCGCTAAGAGTTGGTACAGCATATCTTGCCTCATGAGCACCATTAATCGGACAAATACAGGCCGAAAAACATTTACGGGTGACTGGATCTACAGGGCTATCTGGAGGACCCAACTTGCGGATAATACTTTCGAATTCTTTGAACAGAGTTGGACACTTTCCACCATTCATTTCTAGAATTTTGTCAATGCTGTAGAGAGTGTGCGATGACCTTGAACTCATTTCAACACCATACTCTTCAGCCAAAGAGGCAATTGCTTCATCTCTTTGCTGTCCAAATGGCTCACACTCACTTTCAAGAGTAAGCTTGGTGATATTCCATTCACGGAAAAGCTTTGGGAAAATTGTCGTAGGTTGACCTCTTAGGACATGCAGTCTTGTCCCACACTTTTTTAAGTTATTATCCAAATCCCTGAGGCATTCCAAAAGAAAGTTCCATCTGTTGGCAGATACTTTAGCAGCTTTAATGTTGACTGGATCAAATATGTACACTGCATAGAATGTGCGACAGTTGGGAAGTGCCTCAAATAGTGCTGGGTTGTCATGGAGACGAAGGTCCTTTCGAAACCAGTGCACTACATTGTGTCCGAGTCCTGGTGCACTGGATACTAGGGAAAACAAATTATAATAATTTAATTACACAAATGCATCAAATGTAACAAGGTACGCTCATTAGTAAAAGTGCTTTCCTGTCGTAATCATTAGTTAATATTTAATTATTGAATGTCATTTTATTTATAAGTGACTGTCGTAATTGGGAAACCCTGTGATGGTATCCCTTACCTCTCATGTGCTTGTAATTTGTTTATATTTTCATTTATTATTATGATGTTATGATGTGAGGTAAAAGGCAAATAAATGAATGAATGGAACGAACGAACGAATGAACGAACGAACRAACRAACAAACGAACAAACAAACAAACAGACATTTAAGGAGCAAATGAATGGTGTACCTTTAACAACAAGGCCATTATAAACGTCTCTCATTCTGTTTGAGCATATCTTTCTTGCTATATCATGGTCAAGAATGTTTTTAGGATAGTCAGTACCAATCACACAACCAGCCTGTCTCTGGACCTCAACAGGAGCGAGCCACGGCTCAAAGATATATTCAGTTGGTAAGTTTCTAACTTCTGGAACATACTTCCTATGAAATTAGAGATATACATGYATTTTATAATCCAATGAATTGGTTTTGTAGATTATTTTTCCACTATCATAAGGAGTTGGAAAAGAAATTTTCAGCTGAGTTCCCAAAACATTATCAGAAAAATGGCCGTTCACAATCTCAACACCCCCTCCCCTCCCCTCCCTAAATACCAGGCCTCTTCTAACTCTAAAATTCCAAGTAGACAAGATAAGAATAGTGGTTTTCTTACCTTACATAGTTACCAGCTGGATCAAGTTTCTTTCCAAAATTGACTGGACAAAACCATGGTGTTGGGGTGCTGTTAAAAAATGCACTACAAGAAAGCCACAACCAACAACTGGCATTAAGACTCCACTCTGCATCCAACTGCATCTCTTCAAATGCCTTGAAGCCCTCTTCCCAGCTCACCCAAAGGCATCCTCTAGTTAGGAAGCAGCCTACTGCTTGACGTGCTAAGTGATGGATCCAGCCTTCTTTTCTGAGCTGTCTCATGATGGCATCAATCCATGGGAAGCCTGTTTTGCCCTGCGAAAATCAAATCAAGCAATTCAATGATATGAAGAAGACAGTAAAAAATTGCTTGATATTTTCAATTTGAAGAATTATATGCTTTTTTCATTTTTATAGAGTACGTGCTCAAGTATTTCTGGTAATTAAGAAAATATTACTCAATGCAATAGCCCTCTTTTAGCTTTGTATGCAATTTGCCAATTTCGCACACACATGACATTCCCTTGAAAATTTTTCTTTTATTAAATTTATTAAATTTCACATATGAAAGAATCAACTCCAAAGCTTAGGGTGACATCACATGGTCTGATATGTGCATAAACATTTAACAGAGCTAGAAAGGTCCACTGATAATACGCAGTATATTGAATAGACCCCTTGCATATATACAGTATGATGTCAAAAAAGCTCAATTTGGAGGGCAAAACAAAAGAAGTTCAATTTCATGAGAAATGGAAACCTATTGTATGTCCTCCAGATTGAGCTGCATTCCAAAGTGCTTCAAGGGGTCATTTAAGTCCATAAAATCCAAGCATATTACCACACATACAAAGCTATTTTTAATTAATTTATATATAGTATTATAAATAGAACCACATTTGCTTACGTTTTTCCACCTCTCCAAAGAATTATTGTTCTTGTCCCATGGGAACTGTAAACACATACAGTTATTGCACATCTTATCTAGCGCTGGGTTCTTGCTGGCAATAACAAAAAAGAACTCCCTCCACAGCAAAGACTTTTGGATTCCAAAACAAGCTGCAGGGTTACTGACCTACGACAGAAAGAGATATCAAAAAATTATAATAAAAAATTATAAAGAAATTAAAGAAATTTTCTTWAAAAAATAGACTGTTTTCAAACTGGACACATGGACGTAATACTTGATTACAGTCTCTTTAGCCTTTTTTCAGTGTCTAAATATTCACAAATACCAAACTTCAATACACAAACACTTTGAAATTCCACAAGCTTCAATGGGATGCATGAAGTCTAACCCTGCAGAGCTGAGCAACAGAGATTTCTAAACTGGAGCATTACATGTTGAAAGCAAGAGAAGAAAGTTGTTTTAATAAATACCTTTGATGCGAGCTTTGTCATCTTGTGAAATACTAGGCGAGGTGAGATACAGCCAAATCGTAGATAAGGGCTTAATTTGGTAGATTTTGGAAAAGGAGAATCATCTGAATACTTTGAATTCTTTTCATTTGATTCAAAAAGCTAGGGAATTAAATGAAAGACCCAACATTAGTATTGAATAGTAAGGAATCATCAGATTCCCAATTAAAAGGGGAGGAATTTAATGTTATGATCATCGTGATTTATGGCAAAATAATCATCATTCCTCATCATCATAATATGATTACCCCAGATACCATCTAAATTTGTATTCCATCTATTGGTAGCCTTATCAAATGGTTTCAGTCTACCATGAAGTGGTAAATTCAATTAGATCTTAGCTTTATATTTTAGATCATCATCATCAYCATCATTATCATCATCATTATCATTCATATTCACCATTGGCATCACTGGCCACTTTAGAAATGAGCAAGAGATTGTAGAAAGTTTTTTCCTTTGTGCCTGGTAACCATATATTCTTTGTAAAATTTTGACACTTTTGGATCTAATTCTTTTGATTGACACATGTTCAAATTTGCCAAACTTCATATTAATACTTGAGATGCTTTCTCAGATGCCAATTTCTTTGCCAATTATATTGAAATTTAACACTCCCCAGTCTCTAGGTAATTTCTAAAGTGGCAATCATCATTCACAACCCCTATGAACCATTAAAATATCCACCATTATATATATAATTTCAAATAAAATTACCTCTTTTATTGCTGTTTGAAAAACCTTTAATGCCTGGCTTTCGCCACCAACCCACACCCCTGGACCCTTTTCTTCTTCTACCGCCAACCCGAGCTCCTCAAATGATGGGATACCAAATTTTTCATCATGATCATCTTCAATAGGCATCACACAAGAACCAAAAAGCTCCTTGTCAACCGTTTCTACACATGCTTCAGGGAGGCCAACTTTTCTTAGGAGGGAATGGAATTGCTTAAACGTGATTGGTGCTTGGCCATTATTCTCTTTAACGAATCTTAAAAGAAATGAGCAGTTTATGGTTAAGTTATCAAGAGACCAGTTACAGTGTATATCCAGCTGAGTTGACCAAGTTCCTGAAAAGGAATTATTGGTCAAATATTTTGGAAAGCATTATCTCATGAGCTGGGACATAGTACAATGTATGTTTTTCTCGTTGAATGAAATGGAATTCTGTCATGAGGCCGACTTGTGCATTTGCGATATTAGGATGTCAAATCCTCATTTCTGATTGGTTGACCTTGAATTTGTCTGAAAGTCAACTCAGCTGGATTTAGGTATCAAGCAACTAATCAGTAAGCRAAGAGTAATGACTGGTGAAAAAGAGGAGAAGGCCGGGTGACCGCGAGTAATATTATACAAGCAAATTGACAACAGCTTTATACATCACGACAAAAATCTAAATGGAGCTTTCTGGAATAGGCCATTTTACAGTTCCTCTGGGTTAGTCCAGCCTCAGCAGCATGTAACATATTCTACAGTTTTCGACTACAGCCCTTGGTATTTTAAAAGTCTCAATTGTTCTTTCGTGCATCCATTTCTTGTATAACCACAGGCGGCAGTGAAAATCTAAAGTATATACTACACCCTGCCAAGGCTAGAGTAGCCTAGAGGAACAGTAAAATGGCCTATTTGCTTAAATGACTATGAGACAATAATGATAAAAAGGTAAATCAAATATCGTGAAAAGATGGAAAAACTTACCGACGTTTCAGACATTAGTCCTTCRTCGGAGTGCTTGATGAAGTACTAGCATCCGAAACGTCAGTATTAATGTTTATATTACTGTTTCATTGTGTTTCATTGGAAACACCGACGCAGCTCACACTAGTTTTTAGCTAGTTATATCTTCTTATGAGACAATAGTGATCCAAATTACATTACCAGTCTTTTATTAGAGCCATCTTTTATTAGCAATCTTCTAATGCATGATATTTCATTAAGTTTTGTAATTGGTCTCGAAAGTAATTTGGTCAAAAAAGTAATTATATCATTAATTATATCATATTTAAGCTTCATAAAATATTATGTCCGAATAGTGTAGCGGAGACAAAAGGTTGATTAAGATCCAAACTTTAGAATCATCTTTAATTAGCAATTTAGCTATTAATCTTCTAGAACATTATATATATCTCAAATAAGAGAGTAATTTGTTTCAAAAGCAAATATTATTTTTGCTTCATAAAATATCATTTCCGAATAGTTTTGCGGAGGCAAAAGAATTAAAACCCAAAACAAAATGATAAAAAAAGGAAAAAAACAACTGAAAACTAAGAGAATATTTTAAAAATTATTTAAAAGTAAGCTTACACGAAATTATTTTTGGGGAAAAACAACACAGGGATATTAACAAAAGAAAATAAAAGCGAAATCGTAATTGATAATATTTTAACGATTGTTAATACTTTCAAGGTCCTAAGATATCATTATTGTGATATCTAACTTACCTGGAAATATCGAAGAGAGAGTGTGACGATTTTACAATCACTTCAACTCCTTCATTCTCGGCCAGTCTTCGTACAGCCAAGTCACGTTGACTTGGATATGGCTCACTATCGTATTCAAAAGTCAACCTTGTTATCCCCCATTCCTTGATCAACCTCGGAAACACATCTATAGGGTGGCCCTGAACGATATATAACCTAGTTCCGAACTCTTTTAGCTTGTTGTCTAGATCTTTTAAGCATTCCAGGAGAAATCGCCATCGGTTGACAGAGACTTTGGCGTTCCTGACTGTAGTTCTATCCAAGAAGAACACGGCACGGAATGTTGTACTTCYTTGGATTGCATCTCGTAAAGGTTGATTATCATGGATTCTGAGTCCCTTACGGAACCAGTGTAGTGAGTTAACCATCGGTATGACTAGAATAAATGGCTTTTTCCCCCTTACATTCGTCGAACATGATTAACATCTCCTTAGCTCAAAACCTCCAAGGTTGGTTTTGTTATGCATTAGAAGCGAATAGCATGAGGCCTTGATCCAGTGATTTGATTGGTTGGCAAATTACCTACTTTCCTTTGGAAACACGTGAGTTTGCAGTAAACGGCGCCATATATCCCAGAAATAGGAAATGGCTAAAAATATAGGAAATACTATAAAGGAAAAAAAACATATATATTCCTTTATTCACAATCTCCCCTCCAAAATCTCTTTAAAAACGGGCAAATTTGAAGTATCTAGAGAAAAAAATGATACTCGTTCGTACATCGTTATTTTATCCCTTCAGGTCACGTTTTTATTTCCTCGTCGACGGAGCGTGTGTCTACACAACGGAAGTAGGCAGTTCGTGACTTCCAGTTAAAAATATCACACGAATATTGCCTCATCTATCTGCAATGAAAAGGTCTTTTATTGATTGAGATTATTAGGGATTTTATGAGTATTTTTCATGAGTTTCATCAAGTAAGGTTAAAAACTCGACAAAATCCAAGAATCGAAGAAAAAAAAAAAAATTGATATATGTCCGCCGAGAAATTCAGGCAAAGAAATAAAGATTCGGCTATGAAATGATCGTAACTAAAGTTTGGTATTAAAAAATCGTATCATCACACCCAAAACTTTTTGGTTCAAAAATTTGGATTTAACAAATAAAACTGTGTCGGCTGAGGACTGAGCGAAGAAGAACTTATTAATTGTGATACCGGGTTATATAACTAATTACGAAAACGGCTGGAACCGTACGCAACAATCTGTTACATAACTCTTTGGTCCCTATAAACCCTCCTTACAATATCTCTGAATATATTGATAGAATTCTCAATCACTGTCAAAATTCATGAAAGAGTTTTAAATATCTTTCGCCAAACATTCCCCACAGCATATTTAAATAACCGTCCCACTTCAGATTACATAACAAACTGTTACCTTGCACTGACACGTGCTAAGATAATGTTTGCTTCCGGTGAAAAATCATCACAAAATAGACAATCCCAAAGTTATTTTCGAAAACTACGTTTACTTAGCTTTCAAAAAATGCATACTTTTGTACCTTCAAAAATAATATTGAAATGGCAGTGCGAAATTCGCTTTCCGCATGAATTATAATACGGACGAATCCACTAAGATGAATGAAAAAATTTAATATGATTAATTAAAATTTGATCATAATGATTATTTCATTATGACTGCAATGACTGTTCCGTATTACGCATGCGCTTTGGGAAAGTTCTTTCAACCGGAAAATAGCTCACACGAAAAAAATACCACACGTTTTCTAAGGTAACTGTTTAATYGTTAGAGGATTTCAATCTTTTACTTTTATTTCGGCCATCAATTCAAGTTGATTAACAGTCTTAGCACTGACTAGCTAACAACGATGTACTAAACCAGAGTTAATAGAGGGAACCTAGTTAACTCTGACTAAACTAATGATCTAAGACTAAGTTCAATGGTCTAAGAGCATGAACACATGTTGGCTGGGCAGTGACCAAGAGCACAATTGTTGACACACCACGTGTCCATGTTGGAATTCCCGGCCCACGCTCCAATAGCGCGGCACTTACTCGTGCCTCCTCCTCCTCCTCCTCCTCCCACAAGAGCGCTTTTGACGGCATTGATCAGAGGATACTTCCCTTCTCCGCAGACGTTCCTGAAGTCATCGAGATCGATAGCCCAAAACATGGCACCGAGTAAATCTTTCCCTTTGATCAAGGTTTCAACCTTCAACTTCAAGCTGGCGGCGTCGTCGTACCCAATCCACTGGTCTCCATAGTAACCATATGGTGCCTTGACGACTTCGTCATTGACGATGGTCAATGGAAGCTTACATATCTCGAAATAACTGATGAAGCCTTTTTCTTTGGTGTACTGTCCAGCATTTCCAGGGCCTTTGATCGGTGCACCAAGACCATTTTTACTAGGATTTGCTAGTGTGAATGAACGGCCATATGTTCCCATTCCCAGCGCGATTTTCTGGCAGGGCATTCCCTTGTCCATCCAGTACTGTAGAGCGTGGGACACAGTGCGCTTACTCCCTGGGGGGCCATATAGTCCTGAGTGATGTCCCGTGTCTGGATTCCAGCTTCCATGCATGTCGTATGTCATTAGGTTAATCCAGTCCAGAACACCGGCCAGTTTGTCCACCTCGTAACCTTTATCTACCACAGCATCGCCAGCAGGTACTGCCGCGGTCAGTAACAACCTTGGGGTGTTATTTGCGGCTGCATACCTCTTGAATGCATCAAGGAGCTCCTGACACAGGACGGTGAAGCGCTGTTTGTCTTCGGGGGGTGAGTTCCCACGATGGGCAGGGTACTCCCAGTCGAGGTCCAAACCATCAAAGCCATATTTTGTGAGGACGGTGATTGATGAATCTATGAAGGCTTTCCTGTTGGCTGGAGTCGACACCATGCGTGAGAAAGGGCTTACAGCTCCTCCCTCATGCGTCCATCCACCAACCGCCAGCAGAGTCTTAAGGTCAGGGTTGACCTTCTTCAGAGCATTCACTTCCTTGTACAGTTTGTCGTCGTTCCACTCGTACATCCCTAGAGTGTTGTCCTTGTTAACTTTGGCGAAGGAATACATGATATGGGTGCAAAGGAAGGGATCGATATTAGCTGGTTCATACTTCATCTCTCCATCCCTGTACTGGGCCCAGTTTGTGAAATAACATACCCGATAATAGGCATGTGAAGCCGATAAAGAAGCAATCAGCAGGACAATAACTGACAAAGACTTCATGATGCACCACGATAGAAGACACAAAGTTCTCAAGTAAGTGCAATAAAAACCTCAATTGAAATTTGGACAGATTCTCTTGTAGTCAAGCCAGGTGTAAGGCACGTGAGAGGGGATTTGTTCAGCTGCTTCGTACGAAGCGGTACATATGTGTACAAAGCTAAAAGTCTGTCAACAGAGAACAGAAGAGAAATATTCAGCACTTTATCTTCAGCATTTTACCGATAAATTAGTTATTTCTTTCGGTACAAATATATTAGCATAAAGGAGCCGTTTTGTATACCCACTATTTATCAGAATTATTACATTAATCTGCCATCATGAACACAGTTTGTATGCTTCTCACGGGAACTTTTCCATGAAAATAGAAGTTATGATATTAGAAAATTATTATGACCCATTTCTAATGGCATTTCGTTTTGGGGCGAAAAAAAATTGATTAAATATAACGTTGCTGATTAAAATTTTTGCCAAGCATAATTTTATTCTGAAAATCAACTCAGTCTATCTCCTCTTTAGTAATTAATTATGCTTGCAGTTTTTCTGGCTTGTTTTATATAATCCACATTGAAAATAAGCAACTTAAACCGCAGAATAAGGCCGAAAAGTAACATAGAGAAGCAATTATGAACTTCAACATATAATAATAATGATAAAAGAAAATGAGTGATACTAGCTCATTTTCTCTTGCTAATGGTTTTAGATAAGAACCTTATTCTCCAATGAACTTAAGGTGACTAATTCAGTACAGTTTCAAACTTTTTACACGTTGTAATGTGTCACGTTTTCAAAAGTTTCCTTCTTAGTACTATGTTGTTGTACTGGAGTCAACTTTGCCATTTTATCCCCAAAAGTGGCGCCAAATATCGACAAAGAAGGAAATCCCAATCCCAAACATTGGAATATTTTTGTTAGTTAAGGGGCTTATGCCTCTTTTAGCTTATTAATCGGACGACCAGCATTGGCAAAGAGCTTTTGGCTAATGACTCTTCAAATAGCGGAAAATGGGTGGCGGCCCGAAAGAAATTGGTAATAAAACTAAGCAAATCATTTCGTGTGCAATATTTTTACGAGTTTGATTTATACAAAAAATTAATTAAATTTTTTAAAAGAAATTGGCTTTAGTAGTTGATAGGGATGGCGCGATTTGTGTCAAACATTTTGATTGGATAAATAGGGCTCTCGAGTGCCGAAAGAATTGAATGCCATGTTATTAGTCTCCCTTGCGGTCTCGACACAGTAAAGGCATGCCATATACCTTGAAAATCATCGTTAATTAACTGAAATATTTTCGCTACTAGCTATGTATAATGTTACAAACCAAAAAACTAGCTAGTTGTACATAGAAATTAAAAGAACTTTCTTTTTCATTAAAGTTTTCATCAATAAGAACAAGTTACTTTACTGCGAATTTATTCACACTTAAGTTATTGTAGCTTCCTTTTAAAAATGGTCTTCTAGTTGTCTTCTGATTCTACTACTTKAACATGGGCGGATCCAGGAATTCTAGAAGGGGGTGACTATTGCAAAGATTTTACCAGGAGTTCGAGRAAAWGGGTGTGACTGTTGCTAACGATAWACTGAGARATKTGAGAAAKGTGGGTGACTAGTCACCTCTTTTACCACTCCTAGATCTGCCCTTGTTTAAGCCRAAAGGAAGACATGAAACTTTGCCTATTTAGCTCTAGTAAGAATTATTACTCCTCATGAGGAGTCAAGTGCAGAATATTGATAATTACGTTAAATCAAGATAGTTTTCTTCGTGTTCTTTTAGCTTACACTTCGCCTTTTCGTTCTTTGACATCTGCGTTTGTTGAACCTGTAAGCTATCATGAGAACCGGAAAACAGTAAAGTGAGTGAGTGACAGTTGATTGATGTGTATGACTGTCAAATGTAATGAAGAATGACATCGGCCATCAAGTTAGRACGGCTGGATGACAGGCAGTGTTTTCACTCGTTGCCAAAACATGAATGAAAGCCTATGAGGAGCCGGATTTTCGGCTTATTTGCAAATCCAAATTTATCTGATCATGACCCTAGCTATATATTTCATCCCAGTGCAATGCTTTATTTGGTATTTCTAGCGAAAATTTGATATTATTTTAAAAAAAGAATTAAAATCCCGGCAACAGTATTTTACGGCCCAGCCTTGCTTGGTCGTCTCTTCTCAACCAAGCGAAAAGTTGTCAAATACGAGCACAGTTATCTTCAGCTATTATCCTGCTGTACATTTTGAGGRTGAAAGACATCAGTGACAGTTCTTGTCAACAGSTGTGRRCTGTGGGCGTGGATGGGGTAAGGAGCTGTGAGCGCRGGTGGTGAACTTAGTCAATACACCTGAAGAGGGACATCTCAACAAGTAAACTTTGTTTAGTACTATTTGTGCAAGCTCTAATCTGATTGGATGAGAACGACGAGAACAGATGTGGTGGCAAGCAGCTGGTGCACTGACACAGGTGTCACTTGGATATCAGAGCATATATATACATTGYTTGATTGGACAAGGGCAGTTACAAGTTGGGAGTTACCGTAGCAAAATGCAACTCTTGACACTTTTGCTCTTGGGCTTGGCCTCGTACGCCGCCGGAAACTATGTCCGGGTGTGTTATCACACCAACTGGTCTCAGTAYAGACAAGGACCCGCCAAATTCTGGCCCGAGGACATTCCACCAGAGCTGTGTACCCATCTGATGTACTCTTTCGCCAAGATTAACCARAACAATGAGCTTGCCATGTACGAGTGGAACGACGACAAGCTGTACCCCAGATTCAATGCCCTYAAGCAGAAAAACCCTTCCTTAAAGACTTTTATCGCAGTYGGTGGCTGGAACCACGAAAACGCTAACAGTCCATTTTCTCGCATGGTCAAAACTGCAGCAACCAGGAAGGTTTTCATCGACTCTGTGATCAGAATTCTTCGTCAGTGGGGTTTCGATGGTCTTGATCTGGACTGGGAATACCCAGCAACTCGAGGCGGCTCTCCACCAGAGGACAAACAGAGGTTCACCGTCCTTTGCCAAGAACTCATGAATGCTTTCGTAGCTGAAGGTCAATCATCAGGACGTCCAAGACTTCTTCTCACCGCTGCCGTATCTGCTGGAAAGAACACMATCGACAAGGCATACGAAGTCGCAAAGATTGGCCAGATCCTAGATTTAATTAACCTGATGGCATACGACTTAAGAGGGAAGTGGGAATCAAACACTGGTCACCACACAGCCTTGGAAGGACCTCCAGGCGACATCTTGACCGTCAAATATGCTACCCAGTACTGGATCGACAAGGGTGCACCACCCAACAAAATCGCTCTCGGACTCGGTACATATGGACGATCATTCAAGTTGGTTAATGCCAATGAAAACGGAATTGGTGCTCCAGCCAATGGCAATCCCCCAAGAGGTGAATACACTAGAGAGTCTGGTTTCCTTTCCTATTACGAGATCTGCAAGATGATGCCCAAGATGACAATTGTAAAGACCGATAATAGTGCAGTCAAAGCTCCTTATGGATATCTCAAGCAGGATTGGGCTAACGTGTGGGTAGGCTATGACGATGAGAGAAGCCTGTACCTCAAGGTAGAACAAGTTATTAAGGCTAAAGGTCTTGCCGGAGCCATGTTCTGGTCCCTTGCCCTGGATGATTTCAAAGGTCAATTCTGCGGAAAGGGCAAATATCCTCTCATGAATGCAGTCAAGAAGTACCTTGGTGGATACGTTCCTCCCATWACACCATCCGCAAGACCACCCTCACCAACCGCGACTGCTGGCCCCCTGCCACCAACTAATGGTCCAACCAACCCTCCCACTCAGCCTCCCACTGAACCTCCGATTCAGCCCCCAGTTGGTGGTCAGTGTGTGGCTATTCCACCATACAATGGAGCAGGTATGGATGCTTGGTGTGCTGCTAACTGTGCTGTGGGTAACTGCCCTGCCACTCACTGCAAGTGCTCGTAAACATTCATCCAAACGGAAACACGTGATCTGTAATCAACGTTTCTGTAATTCAGTTAATKATTGATCCGTTATTGACAAATAAAAGCTAAAAACTGTAAAATGATAACCTGTTCTGAATAAACTATCTTTAACTAAATTTAATGCGTGCTTCGTATGTCATTTCTTTTGTTTAAGTCTACTGTCATTCTTACGCACTCCAGAGCCAGATACTAGAATGTTCGAACTCAGTATGAGGGGAGGGCATAAAAGCGAAGAACGTGAAGGCGTGCCTAAGTAATCRCCCACGGTACCTTTGTCTTCTCAGTCAGCACCGCAACGCATTGCACGCTACTTCCAAATCGAAAAGCAAGGCCGTTTGAATGAATTATTTCGTGTTAAAAGCATGGTATAATAATACTATAGCTATATATGATTTCGAATGTTGTAGTATATTTGATCAAGAGAATATATACTTAATATTCTCTTGATTTGATTCAATTTTTTATGGGGGCACGAGTGGGTTGGGTCCAAGCAACCAGAATAAACCGCGAGGGACTAGGTATAATTTAATTCTAAGATGGCGGACRGAAAGGTTTTGTTTGCTTCACGAAGTAGAACATTCATTTGCATTTCTGCATTTTTTTCGAGCAGCGATGGTTTTCCCCCTAGCAGCTGTGTGGGCAGGATATCCCTCAAACGTTAGGGATTTGATTAGTTGTTAGAGGGAAAATTSTACACCCAGAAACAACCTTGATTTTGACAGCACTTCATTTTGAGACCCTGGCTTTCCTCTAAAGGGTTTTGTCATTTATTGGGTTTATTACTGGCCACGCGCTTTAGTTACCAACACAATGGATAAAGGAGGAGAGCATAATTTTTCTGCCTGCGTGTCACATAATTTTTAAAGTGCTTTTTATAAATCTGATGAAGGGAAACTTCAGCGTGCGTAAAGAAGTTCGCTCTCTGCGCCGCAAGACCGCAGAGAGAAACACCAGATGCTATAAAGGGTAGGCATTTTATGTTGTTTTCTTTGTGTATTCTTTCTTTGTGTATTCTTTTGTAGTTCAATTCTTTTATTAGCATGTGTAATCAACCATTGATTTGGTGGCCGACTGCAGTAGTTCATTTAGAATTTATATAGTTGCCGTTCTATGAAGATCATCCTCATCCCGATACCACGAAGCGCTCGAATTTCAACACAGTGGTTTTTTGATTTAGCCTTTAGTCTCACGGAAATTAATTTCTGATCGTTATCCTTAAACGAACTTTTCAATTTGTAAGACTATTCTTCATGCTTCCGTCCTTATGATGCTTTATATAAGCTGCTTTTATGGCAAATATACCCATATACAATATTAGCTTCTTATGTCTATCCTTCGTTTTTTCATTCGATCATGACGTACTTTTAATCTTATTCTTAATTATACTTTAGGTCCTTCCATGAACATTCTCGCAGTTGCATTTTAGCAGAATTTTCATAGAAAGTGGAAGATTAGATGCCGAAGTTTACTTCTCCCGAGGAACTCGAACGAAAATTTGTCCGAGACGTGTACCATGACATAGCTCCAGGATTTAGACACACTCGCTACAAGGCTTGGCCTTATGTGGAACAGTTTTTAAGATCCCAGCCTGCAGGTAGCATTATTGCTGATGTTGGTAAGAAAAATATGGAATCTAAATGTGTTTGACGTCTTGTACACAGTTGTTTTATTTAATTCATCATTTTTTTTTCATTTTACATGAATTTAGTAGAGTCTTTAGATTTGTAAAATAATTTTTAAGTGCTCAGACAGGGAACATTTTTAGATGTGTTTTTAATATTTTTCTGTTCCATGYAAATTTAAAACCATGCATAAAAAATACATGTTAACATATACCATGAATTCTGATTAAATATTCCTTCATGTGAGATGTTTTGACTTCATGGAAGAATTTATGACAAATCATATCTTTTAAGATATTTACATGAAATAGTGATTGTGATTTACAAATAAATGCAACTTCTTTCTAATTGTCAATAAAGCAATCATTTTGTAAATCAAGTATTGTCATCATGGAGCAAGCAACWCTTATATTTCTGACTTAATGTCATGTCATGGCTTAAGAAGTTGTTGTTCTCTTTGTTTTGATGAAAATACACATCTGACATGAACTTTCATAAGGTAATAAGAATATCCAAAGGTAGAAAACTGCAAGAACTAAATTCTAATCTCCATTCATACATGTATGTGAGACAAATGTTTCAATTTAACAAATGTTCCAACCCCTTTTCAAAAGATGTCTTAGGCTGATGTTAACTGCTTACTAATTGATCACAAGCTAGACAAGTGTGTCATTTATTAATTAGTTTTCAGTGCATTAATGTTGGTTTTCCTTTGTATCAAAAGGAGACGAGTTCTATTGCTAGGATTTAGGTATTATACAGTTGTAAATATCTATGACTGAGATGTGTCTTATCATGATGAAGAGTACATATGTATATTATTTAATAATGAYATAAGTGGTTAAGTTTAGAAGTGATTATAAATTGTAACTGTTGTACTGTAACTACATATAGCTTTGGCTCAGTGGCCATATTAACCAGTATTTTTATTTTGAAATAATTGCAAAGAAAAAAAATCCATTTAAGATGTCTTTTTTTATTTTTTGTTTTATTTTATGAATGACTCATATATCTTTAGCAAAAAATAGGAATGGGAATGAAAGGAAAAATGGGAATTAGGGAAGGTACATTTTTAATTTGGGGGGAGGGGGGGAAGGAGCTTCTTTTTAACCGCCACCCGGTTAGCTCAGTTGGTAAGAGTGTCGGTCTGTTGTGCGGGAGGTCATTGTTCAAGCCTCGGCCAGACCAACACTCAGGGTCTTAAAATAACTGAGGAGAAGGTGCTTCCTTTGTAATTACATCTGCAAATGGTTAGACCTTCACTTGGCATGAATGATCACGTTAATGGCGGTCCCATCCCTAATTAACTAGAGATGTTAACAGAGGACCACAAGTTTATCAGTTGAATTACTGTCAAGTGTTATCCTCTATAAACAAAGTTAATTTATTTTTTATTTTTTCAGATTGGCTTCAGAGGGTCATCAGTGCTAAAATGAACTTTTGTTTCTTAAGAAAAGCTAACTGTTAATCCCCCATCCCTACCCTCCCCCCCCTCCAAAAAAATGTACCTTCCCTTAAATGTTTTCTCCCACGCCTATACATAACCTATTTTAAATGACATTTTAAATGTATTTTTCCATTTCCTTCAAGCTGATACCACTTCTTAATACCTCTTTGCTCTTGTGTTTTTTCTTTAGGCTGCGGCAATGGAAAATACCTTGGCCTTACSACCGATTCATTCATAATGGGGTCTGATACTTGCTTGAAGCTGGTAGAAATTGCTCATGACAGATGTCATGAGGTTGCTGTTTGCAACAACTTGAGGCTTCCTTACAAGGATGAGTGCTTTGATGCCATCATTTCCATTGGTGTGATTCATCATTTTGCTTCAGCTAAGAGGAGGCTGAGAGCATTGCAAGAACTTGGGAGAATACTAAGACCTGGAGGGAAGATGTTAGTTTATGTCTGGGCTATGGAACAGCAGCAGAGAAAAGTAAGGGATAATCTTGATGATTTGTAATGATGCTATATTCAAAAGCCTCTCTTGAAGTAGATAAACAGCTAGCCCATAAACAGCCTCTCCTTTCCCCTCCACTTCCCTTCCCTTCCCTCATCCTTTCCCTTTTCCCTTCCCTCTTTCCTTCCCTCTTTCCTTCCCTCTTCCCTTCCCTCTTCTCTTCCCTCTTCCCTCCTTTCCACATTGATAAGGTATGCCTGTCTGAGAACAAGACAATTTCTTATGTTATTTTTTGCAGTTTGATGCACAGGATGTATTAGTTCCATATACTGGACATCAAAGATTCAGAGGTAAAAATCGATCAAGTATGTGTAGGAGATAAGCAATTGTAGCAAAAATTGGGTATTGGCCCCCCTCAATACAAAACCTGGAATCAATTAATGCCTAAACAAGACTGAAAAGCTTTAGTGAGTGAATCTTGAAAAGGGTGGGTGGAACTGTGTTTGGTATACGCCTAAATACTGTAATTTTTTTTGCAGGGAAGCGCAGAAAATCTATTCATGAAAATAATAATTTCCCAGAGCGAGCCAACAGTCTAACACCAAATGGTCATATCAATTTGAGACGGTCAAAATCATGTGACAAGCTCTTTGACAGGTGTCAATCAACTGGAAATTCCAAGCACTTTGATTTAGAAAATAAGAACAGGGGTACAAAAGGTCATGCTATTTCCTCCAAGATTGAGTTCAAAGTATTAAAAGAGATTATCCAGACTATAAAGAACAAGAAAGATCACTTATTAACAAACCTTAATGCACAAGTAACTAAACTTTATCCAGAAAGAGAGAAAAAGTTTATGGATGGATTGTTGTCAGGACTCATTGGTAGATTTTTTGACAAGGACGTAAACACACAAAGTGAAAATGACAAGCCTATTCCAGCTCAAGGAGTTGACGCAAAGACAAGAATTGCTTATGTCACTAAATTTGTTTCTTCTTTGGTCAAAAGATTGTTYAATGAAAAGAGTGAGGAAGCCGTAACTAAAGATAAAATGGAACCAGCACCACATGAGACTGAACAATTAGAAYTAATGAAAATAACAGAGAAAGATCTTGAAGAAAGCTTCTTCATYAGCCTGACAGCTTGGGCAAAGGAGAAAATAAATGTGCTTTCSTCTAGAGAGTGTAAGGAGAAAGTTGACCCTAAAGGATTGCTCCTACGAGGAGAATCTTGTGACAGTGAATACAGTGAGGTTGATTCTGATGAGTACCAGTTTGCTGCTTCAGCAGCATGTTTCTTGGAGTCGAATGATAAAACCAGTGCAGTAGAAGTACAAGAAAAACCTCTAAATGACGACTACAAGAGTGTCAAGATTCCTCCACACCTTTTGACAAGACTTTTGGACACTATTTCTTCTTCGAGTGATTCYGACAGTGATGGGTCATCATCTTCTTCTGTTGACAGAGTAAACAGTGACTCAGGCATTTCAGACTCTGAGCAACAGGAAACACTTGATTTACCAGCAAATGGCAGAAGAAGAGCCTATACCACTTCATGCTATGAAAATAAAACTCATACGATAGATGACGACATTGCCAATGGAGAGAAAAAGCAACACAATCTGCAGAGATATTATCATGTTTTTAATCAAAAAGAATTACCAGATTTGATAGAGGATGGTGTGGAGGGAGTTGATGTATTGAAGGAATATTATGATCAYGGGAATTGGGCTGTGATTGCTGAAAAACAGTAATTTTTAAATTTTAGCATTTTATCTAATTTTATTCTTATGACAGGATTAGTTTCATATTGTTTTGCTCTCCTTCTCGATAACAGGAAGTGGATTATTTCCCACTCAGATTAGTTTTGGTAGATGTCAATCAAATTATGTAAGTGTTTCCATGATGTTGGCTGGAAGCACAAGAAATGGGAATGCCAAAGAATGCCATGGAAATACCATGACGGACGGCTACCAAAACTCTAAAAACTGTACTACCATAACTGAGATTTGACGAGTGTAATGTGTACCTAAATCTTAATTACACTTTTAAATCAWTCTTTTTAACATTCATATTACTGGTATCAAATTTTAAATTACATGTTTTTAATGATTTCATATTTTTTTGATAATTTAATTCTTACTAAGATATATGCAACTTAAATTATTTTTTGAAATAATTTTCACATTTTTAAAGTGATGATGGAAATTAATAACATTTATTGATAGGAATTAATTTATGTATTTTACACTTTAGGTATATTTAATTTATTGAATTTAAAATAATAAAGTACATATATTTATCTTGCTAGACAACAGACACAATCAAGTTAAGTCTGCCAGAATGCTAAGCAGGATTTATAGTGACTGTCACTTAATCGTGGGTGTTTCAATTTATGTAGGGGAGGGGTGCAGTTGCCTTCTATGCAGACATCTTTAGTTTTGTCACATTGTGGCGCAATCGTTCAGGATGTCTGTGCAGGAGATCTAGGAAGAATACCAGGCCATTTTTATGAGTATCACATGAATGAATGAAAGGATACGAGAGAATAATTTCAAAAAAGAAAAAAAAAAAGAAAACTAATTTTCCATACAACAGAGGGGCAGCCACTAACCGTTCTTGTCTAGTCTTTAACTTAGAACTTTATAAAGTTTACCTTTATTGTAGATTTATTTATTGAAATTTTGTTATTT